CAAATCATGATTAAAAATACATTAAAATACTATTTTCATATGATATATACTTAAAGTAAAGAATCTAAGCCTAAATTTGTCGGCATTATAAGTGTGATCGTGTACTATATATATAATGGTAAAGTGGGCATTCCATCATTTTTGCCTAATTCCTGTAAGAAATAATTATAATCTGATGGTAAATACACCCTTCTCATCCTTATTTGTGTGATGAAAAAAAAATGTCAATTCTATTATTCACTCGATTAATGGAGTGATCTTGTAAGAACACTCGCTGCTTCATCTAAATAGTTTATATATATATATATATAACCCTCTAATAAATTCCATTGCTCTAAGAAATTGTTGATTCAAGGAAGAAATAAAAAAAAAAAAATAATCTATGTCTGATTGTACCTTAGAATTTTTAGAAAACAAGCTACAATAAAGAGCAGAGCAAGACCCCAGACAATTAACCCTAATAGCCCAACCACGTTTATTTCTGTGTACATGATAAGGTACACCGAAACCCCTCCGACTGTGAGAGTCAATATTATGATTTCTACAAAGAAAAACGGTAATCAGCGTTGGATTCAAACCAAAGAAAAAAAAGGCTTTAACATGGTAAACATACTTATGACTCTACTCCAAAAGGCACGATTCTTGGTATAATTAGCCACAGCAAAGGCAATATTTCTATCAATACTATTCACAAACCGTATTGGATATTCGCCGTCATTGGTAAAGGTGACTCCAATTGTAACCATTTTAAATTTTTTGGCAGCTTCTATTTTAATCCTTTTGGTCCTCTCTCTAACTTGCATTTGACTTTGTTCTCTAACATCTCGTGTAGCGTTCGGTACAATATATTTGACTTCGACCACGGCCAGAACCCCAACATTTGATATAAAAATTAGATGTCCTTGACCATGTTGTTGTTGCCCATCGACGGTCAACCAATCAAAGGCAAATAAATTTTCAAATCCTGGAAGTAATGTTTTTACATTGTTGATGAATTCTGATTTTAGGTTGTACTCATTTTGATTGAAAAGTGGTGCATATTGAAAAGCTTTTGTCAAACGATCATTCCTACGAAAATTCTCATTGTTCATATTTCTGTGCAATCTTCCCGACATTTTTACAATATGGGAAAGCAAATCATCGTGGTCCCAATCAAAAACGAAAGCTCCTTGTTCATCGGTTTCCTTTAAGGTCGCAGTGGTTAATTTTGATTTTACGACCTCGACCGCCCTGAAGAATACTTTGTCGGATATGGGTTCCGTTATCTTTTCTTCTTGCAAGGTCCTGAAGAGAAGTTTGCAAACTTGAATCTCGAGCTCCTTGTTGCTCATACTTAAGGATGATGGTAAGATCAATTATTAGCGTTAATTAAAAAAATTTTTTTTATAATAAATAGTGATTGATGATCCATGAAACAATGAGTATAAATAATGAAAAGGATGAAGAGCCTATAAATGCTAATTATTAAGGGGGAGCATGCATGTATTAGATGCAGAGACCTTTCCA